TTAACAGAGACATAGACCTTCATCCTGCTTACCAGGCGGTACGCAAACGGCTCGAATCAGTTCGCACAAGGCCAACAGGACGGCCAAGAAGACACAAGCGTGGAGTACAATTGAGATCAGGGGAAGATAGGAGAGGGGTGGGCCCAGGACCAGGTGACCAGCGTGGAACGCTACCTCATAGCTACCGCGCACACGAGGTTGACATGAACTCATGCGGGCAGCAACAAGTGATTAGTTCGTCGGTGGACGAGGGACAGGCCAGTAAGCGCGCTGACTTGCCAACAATGACGACAGCCGCAAAGGGGACAAAATTCAGACGAGCCCCCCAGCGGTCAATCTCACCGACAGTCAGCAGCGAACAAGCAAGTCAAAGTTCGTGCGCTGAGCACGGATATAATAACAGGCATGCAGCGAGCCTGAAACAGTTCCGGCAAACATGAAGAACCACCACGTTACTCTGACGATGGAAACAAGTGAGTGTCCGAAACATCAGTCCCAATATAACTCGGTCCATGTCCTTTAACCGTCTTCTTCGTCTTCTTTGGGGGATGATGAAAACGATAGAATATAGTCTTTCTACGCCTCTGACCTTCCCATAACTTCTCTGTCCTCTCCTAAGGAATCGGACCTGAAGATCACAGTTGCAGGGGTTTAACTCACCACTTCTCCAAACGCCTTGAATAGCTATGCGGATCCACGAATGCCCGAGCGGCCATGAAGAGCTCCCAAAGTAGAGGAACCAGAAATACACCAAGCATCCAGTAGAATGGTTCCTTCTTGATATAAACCACTAAGCAAATGAGTGCAAGCGACAGTCCAGCAAAGATTACTCGCACCACAATGGCTCGCAGCGCAACAGTAAGGTGCATAAACACAAGCCAACCGCGATACCCGACTTGCATGGCATGTCGAACAACTCGAATTGCGGAAGCCATCCTGCTCCGCTTGCCGGCGGTGGTGTCTGGAGGTGAAGGGGCGGCCTGGTCTTTCAGGGGACGTTTGGCTGGCATACTTCGGGCTGTGAAAGGGAAAAAAGGTATTTGGTCATTCGTGTACTCGATGCTCCCTTACGTGCAGAGGCCGCTGGAGGGTGATGATAAAGTCAACGGAAGCGAAGATCATATAGTGTGGTGAAAACTGCATGCGAACGTCATGATGAAATGGGACTTGGTAGTTAAGCCTATATTTGGTCGCGTTATATTGATTAACTGCGTGAATTTGTTTAAGAAAACCTGCCTGTATGGTTCAGTTTATTGAGGATAACAGGCATCGATTTTGGTCAAATTGGGAGTAGTCCGGTATCGAAGGAATTTCCTATGCTTTCATTTAAGACAAGC